CTTGCCAGGCAGGTGCTTTGCCACTGAGCTAAATCCCCAGCCCTGGATGCCTATTTTTGATTTAATGTTGCATATTGTGGATTTTATTTTGTTGAATACAAGTTATTTTTGTATTCTTACAGCTATTTTTACTTGGAAATAGGTTCCTCGGAGATAAGTTTGATCCTTTTTTGGTCTTGTTTTTAAGCTTTTTAAGGCAGGACCAGTACAACATTTATTCTACGGTTAATTTTTCTCCACTACTAAGGTAAACTTTTCTGAATACTCACTTATAAATTTTTTCTGCTGTGGTTATTGGGAACAGGAATTAGTGCTGGTCCATGTATAAGATCCAGATATTGTTTTCTCTAGTCCGTGATTCTTTCCTGGCCTCACATGCATATGCAGATCAGTACCCAGTAGAAGACTTAGCTCAATGATTAGGGAGGGCCCCTACTTGTCATTTTAGCCAGTTCTCAGTTCTTATAACTGAATACCACAGAGTAGGTAATTTATAAAAAATGAAGGTTGATTTAGATGTAGATCACAGTTCTAGAGACTGAGAAGTCCCAGAGCTCCTGAGGTCTGACCCAGGGATCTGGTGAGGCCTTCTTCAGTGTCATAACATGGCTGAGAGTATCACGTGGTAGGATAGAGCAAGTGTGTTAGCTGGCGGCTTTCCCCGCCTGCTCTTCCTCCTTCTATTCCTCCTGTTCCTCCTCTCCCTCATCCTCCCCTTCTTCCTCCTCCTCTGTCTGTGTGTGTATGTGTGCGTTTGTGTGTGTGTGTGTGTGTGAGAGAGAGAGAGAGAGAGAGAGAGAGAGAGAGACTAGGGATTGAACCTAGGCTCTTAGCTCTGAACTGTATCCCCAGCCCATTATTTTGAGGTAGTCTGGTTAAATTCCCCAAGCTGGGTTTGAATTTATGATCTTCCTGCCTCAGCCTCTCAGAGTACTGGGATTACAGGTGGTTGCCTCTGAGCATCTCTTCCTCCTTTTATAAAGCCACTAATGCTAACCTCAAGACCTTATCTTAGCCTCAATACTTTCAAAAGACCCATCTGCAAATACCATTATCCTATGACTTTGAGGCTTAGATTTCCAATACATGAACCCTTGGAGGACAGTTCAACCATGCTATGCCCTCTACAGATCTCCACTCTTCCTCTGTAGCGCTCCCCTCTGTAGTCCTTTACCCTGTGGTCTCTGACGTTGGCTTCTGTACACTGGTAATTGCACTGTGGCCTGGGAATTCCCTCCATGTAGAAAACTAGGGGCAGTTGTAGGACCCTCACTGTTCATTTCCTGTTTTTCAGAGATCATCATTTTTCATTGCCCGATGTCCAGTTCTTGAAAATGGTTGTTTCGTATATTTTGTTTTTTTAGTTATTTCAGATGGGAGTTTAGTGCTTATCCCATTACTCCTCCTTGACCAGAAGCAGAAGTTTTCCCAGAGTAGAACTTTTACATTTTATAGTCATTTCTATAATTAAGAAATTAGTAATTCAGGTCTTAGTTTTTTATTTCATCATCCTCCTTTGTAGAGCTTCACCAGTAACTCTTTAAAAAATAGATTTAGTATTTGCTGACTGCCTACCTGTGGTGCGCTATATGCTAGTTGCTGAAATGTGTAGCCTCACGTCCCTGTGCCAGATAAGTGGGAGAACAGGTAGGATTCTCGTCATAATTAATAAGTAACAGATTTTAAATATCAAAAATGCCATTACAATGTAGAGTGACAAGTATACACTGTGCTAAATGTGGTAAATAATCAGATGTTAGAATTGACGGCCTTTGCTAACAGAAGTGAGTTCTGTCACTAACCATGAGCGCGTCAACCAGCCTTTCTCGGCCATCTGTGTTCCTTCTCCCACCATCAAGGTAGCATTGATCTGTATCCGTGATGGCAGACCTTTTAGAGCTTTCGCTGATAACAAATAGCCCGCTGCGGCATGTGTGCCATAGGTTCGCCACCACTGAGCTATACTGTTGGTCCTCCATCTCTCCAGAATTCATCTCCTTTCATATGATCTTTTCTTCCCCTTTGAGTGCTGCTCATGCTGTTAGACCTGATTTCATTTTCCCATTTACTTTGGAAGTGTAAGCATGTTAAAGACTGAAATATAACACATCAGTTACATTTGTTTAGTAGGTGAACTTTTCAGTTTGTATATTCTCAAAACCAAATGTGAATTGGTTAATGGTGGGAGGGACAGGAGGTTAAAGGTAGCAGAAAACCTCAATTACAGGTAATAAAACTGGACAGTATTTCCAAAGGAATTCTTTGGGTGATGAATGAGGTCAATTATCATTTCATTGTGTAGGTGAAGCCAAAGGTAGCCAGTGAGGTCCAGTGATCCTTGCTCTGTGATTGAGCAGTAGGAAAATGTGGGAAATGCTCGTGTGCACCGAGAGGGTCAGCTGTGTAGAGCATCGCCTGGAAAGTCAAGGGTGCAGGTCCTAATTGGTTCTGTACCAACTGTATTGTAGCCTGATCGTGACAACTAAGAAGTCCAGAGCTATAGTTGATGGAATTTTTCATTTATTCTGGTTAGTTGCTGTGATCAAAACCTTCCTTGGAAAAATAACCTATGTTTAGATGACTGCTAGTACATGTGGTCTGTCTGGAGCTTGTAGTAGCTCTGGATAGTCCTGCTCCTCCTCAAGGCACTCATTGATGTAATTTCAGACACTCTCCTCGCTCCAGAGAACATGTGGTCTTGCTTTGTGCGAAATACTGTATTTTACAAGACACACTACTGTGTTAGTTTGTAAGCTTCTTGTTCCAAGCGTCTCTAGCAGCCCTACTTTTTCTCAGATGCTTGGCCCCGCTCCATGTATGAATAGCCCTTCTGTCTGGCAGAGGCTGCAAGAAGTTCTGCCTGAGTGTTTGAGAGTTAACCGGCCTTTACTGAGCAAGCACTGTGTGAGGCACTAACTTAAAACTTACAGAGGTTGTACAGGTCTTTTTACCACAAAAGTACTTTCCATTTAGGGGGGAAATAGCATAGGTGAGTTCCGAGGACCACAAGAAAAAATTAGAAAATAAGCAAAACTGCATGTTTTGAGTTCTGTCTCTTTAGCATTTTCTGTGAGGACTGGTGGCTTGAGTGACCGAAGTAGCTGGCATACCACCATTTAAGCATGTTCTATTTTGAGACTGAATTTGTGGTTTGGGAAGGATATATTATAATCATTTTCAACAAATGCTTATTGAGTATGCAAAGTATCCCTGTGGTAGGCACAGGGAGTACTGAGAAATATAAAGTTAGCATCCTCTGCTTATAATGACTTTTTCATATTTGGTCTGGCAGGATATGTTTAATTTTTTTTAAGAACTTAAGCTATGTCTTCTTCAGAAAAAAGCATAGTCACCACATTTAATAGAAATATGTACTGTACTAAACATTTTTTTTTTTTAATGTCTTTTTGAGACAGGGTCTTGCTGTGCAGTTCAGGCTGGCCTTGAGCTCACTTTGTAGCCCAGGCTGGTCTCAAATGTGCAATGATCCTCCTGCCTCAGCCTCCCAAGTGCTGGGATTACAGGCATGCGCCACCATGCCTGTCTTGTACTAAATTATTAACTGAGCAGTTAACTTAGCATGTGTCAGGAAAAAAGGGAAGGACCTTTGCTTTTTTATAGACATTGTAATTGTATATAATTTAGGTATGGCTAGAATTTTTTATCAAGTCAAGGTAGGTAATACTTACCTTGTAATTTTTATTCTTTAATAAAAAATGATATAAACTAAAAGATTATTCAATATTAACCTGAAATACCTGTGGTAGGTTTATGAATGATTTCATTTTTTATTATACTTCTTTATAATTGTCTACGTTGTTTGTAATGAATATGTATTTTACAAATACAAGAAGAAAGCATTTGGGAAAAAAACAACACTGTAGCAGTTTTGGGTTTGGGAGGATTTTTGTTTGTTTTTTGGTTTTTGGGTTTTTTTAGACAGTGTCTCACTATGTAGTTTAAATTGGCCCTGAACACACTGCATAGCCCAGGCTGACCTCAAACTGATAGGATCCTCCTGCCTCAGCCTCCCAAGTGCTGGGATATAGGCGTGCACCACCGCATCCTGCTATAAAAATTATTATAGTAGCTGTATTTCAAGATGACTATTATATTTTGAATATACCAGCTTTCCCATTTTTGCTCTCCTCTCCCACCAGTTTTAATAAAGTTGGTTATTATTATTTTATACTGTTATTATTGAATAAAAAGATAAATTGAGGCTGTTCGCTTTCTTGCTTCTGTTTCTTGTCCTTTTGCTGAGTTAGTCTGGAAGCAAAAGGACTCTAGCTAGTAACTACTCAGCTGTACTGTGAAAAGCTGCCTGGGAAAATTTAAATTATGCTGGTTGGGTTATAATTATGTCTGTCACTGTGGGGCCTGATCTCTTGTTTTAAAGCATCCTAAGAGTATTTTGCTCTATCTTTATATTTGGTCATGTTGGAGAAAGCAATTAGATTATCCCATCTCCCCATCTGGTACAGCGAAGAAAACTCATCTACTTGGCTTACTTGGTGTGAGAGAGAGTTTAAACTTTTTAAGTTATCTGTGATTCAGTTGAGTAATTAAATCTTGTTTCTGTCAGACTTTGTTCTGGGGACCTGTGTTCCCTTATAATTATAAGTTTAATTATTCTCAACAGTGATAAAATTCTGCATTATATGAGGAAGTCAAAAATTGTAGGCGAGTGGATGACATTTCTAAATGAATTTCATTTGTTCTTCCTTTTATAGCATGTGTTCGATGATCTCAGTGGCTCAGTATCCTTATCCTGGGTTGGAGATCGCACTGGCGTAAGTAATATTTATTTCAGTCTAGTAAGAAGATGGAGATTGGGGGTGGAGCACTAAATCTCCTTACTTTCCAAAACAGTTTTCCACCTCAGCTGGAGCAAATGCATGTTGTTTGCAGGACAGACTTTCAGGAAGTTGTAGTTGGTTGGTTTTGCTTTAAAAGTGGGAATATCTTTTGACCACCTTCTTGCATAATAGGAAGTTAGACATGTATGTTTGTTTGTTTGTTTGTTTGTTGAGTCAGGGTCTCACTATGTAATTCAGGGTGTGAATTACTTGAACTTACTATATAGCTCAGGCTGACCATGAATTTGCAATGATCCTCTTGCCTCAGCCTCCTGAGTGCTGGCATTACATGTGTACGCCACCACACCCAGCTACGATAGACACTATTTTAATCTTTAGTGGCTCCTTAGTATCAAAATGTGGATACTATCAAAACGAGCAAGCAGAAGAAAGGGGAAATAGTGCTGTGTGCTGACACAGTACTTGGGAAAACTTGGGTGTAGAAGCAGAAAAGGGCACATTACGCATCTTGCCATTTTTTCCCCTAACTGTATTTTTCCTGTACTTTCCCACAGTTGTGTTAAAGGACTGTGGCACCCTTGGGCCCTTGGGTGTCTAACTCTGCTATCCCTGTCCATTTAAAAAGGAAGTACTGCCAGGACTGGGGCAATGGAGGGAGGTGCTCAGCTCCTTATCCCTCCTGGCGTGCAGTGGCACTCTGCTAAGGTGGTACACTGAGGGTACACGGATCTCAGACCTTGAGTCGGGGGTTGGTTCTGTTACCTGCTGGAAAAAGGGCAGGGGCCGTGTCACAGGCAGCCTCATATTCCAGTAATCATAGCTTTGAGTCATATGACAGCTACATTAGAAGCTTAAAGAAATACATTTTGGTTTTGAAAAACAAGTTCTTATTTTAATTGGTTTTTAAATTTCCAGTAGAATTCTTTAAGCTTGTTTCAACTTCTTCTAAAATTTGGGTTATTACCCCAATTTTCACAACTTATCCATTTGGGTAAGATAGTTGGTATCTCTGAGATTTCTTATATGGCTTTTTGAGGCTCCTTAGACTCCAGTACTAATCAAACCAAGATCTTTTTCTATTGTATGCTTTTTATAAACAAGTAATTATTTATAAAATGAATTTCATGGAGAACTAACAGCAAGAAGAATAGGATGGACAGATACGTGTGACACAGTGACCTCTGTGAGAACACCCACGGTATTTTAACCTGTCTAGGCAGAAAAATAAAAGAGGTGGTTCTTGAGAATATCTTGCAATAATTTGGATACAGAAGTAGTTAAATCCTTCCTGTATTCCAGTGTGTATTTGAGTAGCTCTGTTGCACTGCCTCAGGTATAGGGAAGAGATATGATCCCAACAAAGTGAGTTGAGGATATCTGGACTTATAATAAGTCCTAGAAATTTTGTCCTGATCTTGTTTTTAAAAAAATATACTGCAATATAGTCTGCTACAGAGTGATCTGTCTTTCAGGTGTGGTTTAATTTCATCATGTGCCAACGTGTCATTAGAGTATCTTTCTTATTGACAGAATGCTTTTATTTCCCTCCAGGTTATTCTAGTTTTGACTACCTTCCATGTACCACTGGTAATTATGACCTTTGGACAGTCCAAGTTATATCGAAGGTGAGATCACTGATAATGTTAGAGATTTTTGACTAATACATTAGGAATGTACACTCTCCCTTCTGTGGACATAGTGGAGTCTAGTGGTTGATTTAAAAGATCTTAAAATTTTCATCCAACTGCCACAGTCAACACACTTCTTAATGTCTGTTTAGCAGCCTGCAGGGTCATACTTCCAGGGAGATTGGGTCAGCCTGACTGAGGGGGAGAACAAGGAAGATGAAGAAAGAGTCTGTGGGAATGGGTGTTCATGCTAATTTACATAGACAATTTGAAGCAAGATAACATGGATTTTATGCCTCTTATTATGAACAGAGAATTTTTTTAAATATCCCTGAAATTAAAATCTTAATTGCACCATCCAAACACATATTATTTATGTAAAATGTTGACGTCTAGACAGATTGTTTCTCTATAGATGGAGATTCTCGGGTGATTGTTGTTAGGTAAGGAGCAGGTCAGACCAACCAGAGTACTCACTAATGATCACACTGGTAATGGCAGTGGGAACCTGTTTTCTGTGATATCCATGTTTTAGAGTTGTTTTCTCAGAGGCACAGCTTCATTAAAAAGTAGATTCTTTCCTTAACAATAAGACTTAAGGCCAGCTAACTCCCCAAGATTACTGGTTGTCTTTTCAATCTTTGTGTCTAGCCCATCCCCCTTGCTTCAAGAAACCTAAAGAAATAATGACATCCCCAAAATAGTGAATGCTATCCCAGAGCCAGAGTGCCTCCAGGGAGTCATGTTAGTATATAAGGGTTTTTATTTATTCATCCTGAACTATATCCAGAGCCTATTCAATTTTTTATTTCGATACAAGGTCTTGCTAAGTCACTAAGTTGCCCAGCGGAACCCTAACTTGCAGTCCTCCTGCCTCAGCCTCCAGAGTGCTGGTACTGTAGATATCCACCACCACGCCCAGCTTTTAAGGGTTTTTTATTTGACTGTTGGTCTTGGGCCATATGGGAGGGAACCTGTACTGAAGCTCTGAAATGAATCATCCCATCTTCCCTTCTCAAATAGATATGATCCTTTACTTCTACTCCTACGCCTTGAGCCAGAGCTCTCTGCCTTCCAACACAGTGCTGTTAACTTAAAATAAACTATATTTATCTTGAGGCCAAGACAGAACTGCCATCTTGGAATTGCTGTAAGCTCCATGGAGGCAAGGCTGTTGCCTGCCTTGTGGTTCCCCAGCATCTAGCCAAGTGACTGACACATAGTAAGCAGACAGTAAATGTTGAGTGAGTGAATTAATGCTTTGGTTTCTCTATAATTTTTAACCTGATAATATATTTTGTTTGTTTGATATGGAATTGACAATGTATTGTAGAATCCTGATGCTAGAAAGGGCTATAATAGGTGCTTTGTTTATTCAATGAGAATAGTAACTAAATCATTTAAAACATATGAAATCTCTTGTTTTAGAAGGAAAAATGTATTTGAAACTTCGTAACATTTTAGTAACTGATATTTAAGAATCCTTGCTATTACGAAATCTCTCCTCATGATGCAGTTTTCTTTGCCAATTTATCTTATAAAAACAATACAATCATACCTTAAAACATTTGAAAATTCTACAGGAAAGAAAAAAATTCACCCTACAGCGTAGTGTAATCTTAGTTTATTTACACTTTATTATATTGATGTTACCCTTTAATATTATATCATATGGCTGGATAGTTTTGGGAAGAAACATAGAACAGCAAAAAGTTGCCAAGCTGTCTTGGCAAGTAGGCATGGCATTGAACCTCAGCATTGTCATTTGCAAGTAGAATGAACTTGGGCAAGTGATTTAACCTTCTGGATCTTTTCTGTTATCTATAAATGAACAATAATGCCAGGCCTACTGACACAAGTCTTATCATAGCACTCTGGAAGGCTGACAGGCAGGAGGATTACAACTTTAAGCCCACCCTGGGCAATTTAGCAACCTAACAAGACCCTCCTATTTCAAAATAAAAAGTTAAAAATGGGCTGGGGCTGTAGTTCTGTGTAAAGGTTCTCATTCTAATCCCCAGTACTGAAGCCAGAGAGAAGGGAAGGAAGGAGAGAGGGAGGAAGGAAAAGAGAAAAGAAAGTAACGCCCACCTCGGAACTGTTGCTTGAATGTTCTGCAGTGTCTTAGCGTGGAGTAAGAGAGCTTGGTGCTGTTAGCTGCTGCCTTTCCAGTGCCGCAGATGGCACGTAGCCATCACGTACTGGCACTGATGTACCAGTTGGTAAAAAGTAATTGCCTAACCCCAAACTCCTCCATAGCTTCCACACCCCCACCCAGTCGACATGCAAGTGTCACTAATGCTTGATATCACGCACTACACCCACTGTGACGAGTCAGTGCTCCTACCACCCTCTACTAGTAACCTCTTGTTTTTGTTAGATTGACATCATTCACTTAATCATCACTCCATTGGACAGTTATATTATAGCTAATTTTTTCACCGTAACTAATGCTCCTGTGATAACTGTCAAAAATATTTCTGCCATAAGGGATACTCACCTCCAGTTAATTTTCTTAGTAGCAAATGAAAACCTTCCTCTCCTTGATATCTGCATGTTTTGGAGGCAGTTTATTGAACTCTTCTCCTTCTTGAGGTGGACTAATCTATACCTAATGCATAAGCCATTTTTTGTTTTTGTTTTTTACTTGCCTTCCGAATTTACTTATTCTGTACATTGTTCTTTGGTTATGTGGACGGAATTGCACCTAACTCCCTGAATCAGGCTCATAGGAGTGAAAGTGTTTGCATAGCTTTTTTTCCCATCTTTTGCTCTTCAGTATTGTGCTTAAGACCAAACAAAACCAAAACAACCAGTGTCACTGTTACTGTTTAAATACTACCATCTGACTCAGCCCTTTTTCATTCTTTGTTCTTTTGATTTTTTTTTTTTTTTGGATTTTTTTGACGGGGGAGTTGGTACCAGGTGTCGAACTCGGGACCTTGCACTTGCCAGGCAGGCACTTGTGCCACTACTCTATTTCCCCAGCCCTCTTTGTTCTTTTGAGAATCTTCTTTCCTAACACACTTTACTGGAGAGCAATCCTATTTGTTTCTGATATATGTCCCAAAGTTATTTTTCTTCATGCTGCATAGCGGTATTGTTTTAACCGCAGACTCTTGGAATATTATCTCTTCCCTGCTGTGAAGAGAAATCTGATTTGTACCCTCTTTCAGAGTTTAGGCAGAGACCATAAACATGCCTTGTTGTTTCTTTAGCTGGGCTGGGTTGGCTGAAATGACTCATGTTTTTTAACACACCAGCCGATAGGCACCTGTTGCTTCAGAAATGGAAAAGGGGAGGTCTTCCATATGCTCCTCTCACCCAATTACAAATAAAACAAAAGCTGCTAAATCCACTCTGAACACCAAAATAAATAAATACAATTTTTAAAAGCCCTAGCCTAGCTTGGTGGCACACCTATAATCCCAGCACTTAGGATGCTGAAGTAGGAGGCCATAAGTTCAAGGCCAACCCAGGCTAGGTAGTGGATTCAAAACGAGCATAAACTAGTGAGCCCCTGTCTCAGAAAACCATAAATACATATATACATACACTTGGTAGACTCTTCTGTTTTTTAGAGCATTGACTATGTCACTTATTGGATTGCCTTTGTCTACTAAATCTTATATGATCAAAGGTTTATTTAGGGTACAAATAAAAGATACCTAATCATGTGCCACCTTCCATATGTGGTAAGGTGTGAAGGTTTACAGGGACAGATGGAGGTTGTCTCTGTTGCATATACAGAGTTAGAAGAAATACCCTGGTTTGAGGTTCTGAAAAACAGTTGTTGAAGGATTTAGGAGATAATAGAGTCTCAAGGACATTCATGATTAGATGAAATTGAGAGAATATATTCATACCATCAATTAAAGGAATTGTGTTGGAGTATCAGTATTAATTTTAATTCTGTGTTAAGGAATATTAGTTTCTATAATGGATTATAAAGTATATTTGTCTCTCATCTGAAAATACGAAGTTTAAAAGATTAAGTAGTTATATTTCAGGTGATAATTTGATTCTTGGCAGGTCAAAGATATTTTCTATCTTTTTGTTTTATGGTTTCCTGCATCTGACTTTTTATTGTTTTTGTTTTTTGGTTTTTTTCTTTGGTTTTTCTCCGGTACCAGGGACCGAACTCCTGACCTTGCGCTTGCCAGGCAGGCGCTTTGCCGCTGAGCTAAATCCCCAGCCCCCTGACTTTTTATTGTTAAGATCTACTTAGTGATAGAAATGTAGCATTATTCTACACCAAAATTCTGCACCTAATCACTGCAAAATTGGTGGGTCACTTCTGGTTTTCATTCTCTGTTAAGAGTTAATCAAATTTTGAAAACTAACAAGGGAGTCTCTAAGAGATTTCACAGAAAAGTTTATTCCATAGTCAATTTAATTTTTTTTAGGATGTTGCTTGAGATTTTTTAAAAAACAAAATAAAGATAACTTACAGTTGTAAAGCAGATTGCTGGTGTAGAAAACTTTTTCAGACGTCTGTGTGACAACAGTGATGTGCTCAGTTCATTTTTCACTGTGGTATATTATTTACAATGACTACCTATTTCAGATACAAGGTTAGCATGAATTACATTTACAAAATATATTTCCCTGATTTTTAAAAAAAAAAGTTTTTTTAAAATGTGTTACATTGGCGGATTTCCTTTAATACAACATTTACAGACTGTTTTGTCAATCAAAGCAAAATATGTGAGGATCTAAAATGCTCATATTTAATGGTAATGTGTCTTTTACTGTAATAAAGTTTTTAATGTCAGCATTCACCACAATTTTTGATCACAACACATATATGTGAAAGTAGTTTACAAACAGCAAGATCCTATAAAATGTCAAGTATTATGGTAATTATTTTTATTAAAACTAGTTCACCATAAGTAGACTATAAAAAAATAAAAATAAAAATAAAATGCTCATATTCCTTTGACTAAAAGTTCCATGGTTTGTATTTGTATATCCTATTCTCTTTATTTTTTTACTTG